CTGTGGAGTGGTGTGAGTGACATGTGGCTGGGGCTCCATGAGCCTTAGCAGAGCTGTGCACCTCTGCCTGACACTGGAATTGGGGTCACTAAGTGAACTTTTCGCTTGGGGACTGAGGTACAGCAGAGGGGAGAGGGACTGAGGTCCAGAGCAGGATTCCACAGAAGGACTGGGGAAGAACCTGTCCTGTCACTCCATCTCTGAGCTCTAAAAATGCAGCAGACCTTTCCAGCCCTCAAATGTGTGTGGCAATGCATGGCTTCACTCTTGGCCTGGCAGGTCTCATTCAGTTGCATTTTGGCTCTGAGGTCCCTCACTTGCCACACAGCACTGGGTAGGGGGAGTATAGGCTTTGCCATCACGGTGCAACCTCTCCATCCTCCAGAGGATGTGCTTTTGCATCCCTGCCCTGTGCTGAAAACGACAAAGGGACCTTTTGTGATCCTCTCTATGTGGACTGATTTATATCTCTGTGAATACACACAAATCCCCACACAAATGACTTCTGGAAATGATCCCAACTGATTTTTCATTTTTTTGGTTCCCAGGCTGCTCCTTAGCTATCTCTTCCAGATACTTCTAAGATTCCTTGAATTCCTTGGATTATTACAAATCAATACATTTTGTTACCGAGGCAGATTTTTTTAAGACTGTAGTTACATTTACAGATATCACTGAAATTTTTTGAGTATTCACATACATGCAAAAATATTGAGGAAGATGCAGGTGCTTTTAGTGTTCTCATTCCCTATTTCCTTTCTAGAGTCAGCTTGAAAATCTTTGTGAGAAGTTACATCCTTAACCAACAGAACAGTTTTCTGTAGAGATGCGCACTCCTCTAGGTGGCACTCGAAGCTGTGTTTTCCCTGTTTTGGAGTAGGTAGATATTGCAGGACTAAAAGGAAAACTTCTTTCTCCTCCACTTGTGAGCTCAAATCTGACAGTGCTGGATTAGTTGTTCAGTGGGACAGAGTTTTTTGATAAGCTGGCAGAATTGTCTTATGGCCATATGAGACTCGTGTGGGTTAAGGTTCAGCTTACAGAGGAAAAACTGACGTTTATGGGAGTGCTCTTTTATTTTCTCTACTTGAAACCATTGCTGGTTTTCCTCTACGTATGAAGGGGTGGTTTACAATTAAGACAATGAATGAGATCTAAGATTAACTTGAGTTTATTTTCCTGGTTTCTTGTGAGACTTTTTAGGCCCCTTCAAAACTTGATTCTTATTTACTTGTTCTCTATTAAAAAGGTAGAGTATCATGTAAATTATAACCAGGCTGAGTTTCAGTTCTTTTCTTTTCCATTTATGGAACAGAGTTAATAATAATCCCTATGCATGCATATGTTACTTGTCTCTTTCATTTAGATTGTGACTTCTTCAACCTAAGGTCTGTACCAAACGTAAGCTGGGGCCTCCACTGGTATTCATTAGCATTTATTTATTATCCTTGAATGGATTAGATACTAGGAAAAGGTTCTTCATCCAGAGGATGGTTGGGCACTGGAAAAGGCTCCTCAGGGAAGTTGTCATGGTACTGAGCCTGATAGAGTTCAAGAAGCGTTTGGATGACACTCTTGGACATGTGGCATGATTCATGAGGATGTGATGTGTAGAGCCAGGAGCTGGACCTTGCGGGTCCCTTCTGACTCAGGATATTCTATGATTTTCTAGTTTGATTGCAGGCTGTTCAGATTTTTGCCAGTATTGGTTTATTCATGTCTACAAAGAGTTGCTGGCTTGGATCTTGAGCAAGGATGCTCTTCTCTGATCAGCTCATCTCATGTACCTGTGTTATGAGGGATTACAACGCGAGTGAACCAGCCCTCTGCTTTATCTGAGTGCCTTTCACGTGGAGCTGCTGCACTGCTCTCCCAGCAGGCTCATTTCCGAGAGCCCTTGGTTTGGTGCAGTGCTTTGTGGCTACAGCACTGCTGACAGCAATGCAGATGACAGGAAGACAGGACCTGGCTGGCTCCACGGGCTATGAGTACTGACAGGACTCCAAAGCCACCTGGCTTCACACATTGGACACCAGCTTGTTCCAAAAGCTTTAGTATTATCTGCTTTCATTTTTTCCTGCTGTTACCCAGGATTTTCTTTTACCAAGTGTTCCAGATAAACATACACTCATTGTTTTCATCCAGGTACTGAGAAAACATTTCATCTGCCATTTATGCTGTATCAAGGTACACTTAATTTCTTGACTATTGTAAATATGTCCCTAATTCCTAGAAGACAGCTCCTGGGTCCTCACTGACTCACAGACCACTGCTCTCTGCAACTTTCCAAGGAGGGGAAGCAGAGAGGAAGGTACTGATCCCTTCTCTCTGGTATCCAGTGATAGGATGTGTGGGAATGGTTCAAAGCTGCATCAAGGGAGGTTCAGACTTGACATTAGGAAACATTTCCTTACCAAGAGGGTTGTCAAACACCAAAACAGACTTGTCTCAAGCAGTGTTTGATGCCCCAAGCCTGTCAGTGTTCAAGAGGCATTTAGACGATGCCCCTAACAACTTTAAGGTTTTGACAATGTTTGGGTCATCTCTGATCAGGCAATTGGACTGAATTATTGTTGTTGTTCCCTTCCAATTAACTATTGTGTTCTGTTCTATTCTATTCTAAATGGCTTTAAACTGAAAGAGGATAGTTTAGATCAGATATTATGAAAAAATTCTTTACTGTAAGGGTAGTGAGGCACTAGAACAAGTTGTCCAGAGAAGCTGTGACTGCCCCATCCCTCGAAGGATTTAAGGCCAGGTTGGATGGGTCGCTGAGCGATCTGGTCTAGTGAAAGGTGTCCCTGCCCATCACAGGGAGATTGGAACTAGATGGCCTTTAAGGTCCCTCCAATCAAAACCATTCTGTGATTATTATACTCTGTGCTTCTTCATATATATTATCTCATTCAGGGTTAATTTTGGCTGTCTTGCCTTTGGGATATATGAGAGGTCCTGCTTCAAAGAACAAACAATAACCAACCAATATTCAGCTCTCAACAATGCAAAAAATCACCACAGTCAGAGTGTCTGTCTTTTTAATGCATTTATACCTTCTTTTGCATGTCAAGTCACAGCTGCAGGGTTTTTTGACTGGGGACTGAATGTAGACATTTAACTGAACAGCCCACTTTTTCAGATGTTAAAAAATAAGCAGCAGTAATCAAGGAAACCTACCACAGCTAAAAGAATGACCTGAGCATCTCAAACAAGGTGTGTGGGGATGTTCAGAATCAGCCTGCAGAAAAGATATCTATGTGCTGCAGGTTTGTTACTGTGCTTCCTGCACTCTTTTGAGCTCTGTTCTTAGCTATTCCTGTGGTCAGACCCTTGGGTAATACCTTGTTAACCTGGTTCCTGTTTTGCTACCCTCCACTTTTTCCAAAGCTGACAAAAGCCTCCATGGAGGAAGGTTTTATTGCTGCTTCCTTTCTCTACTGCTCTTCCCTTAACTATTTCATTCATCCTTTGAAAACATCACAGAGATTATTGCTCTGTGGCCATTGCTGTCTCAGAGTTCAATTGACTTGATTCTGTCACCTGCTGCTACACTCACGGTCAGTGCTGCCCACATGGATTCCTATTTGTGGGCCCAAGTAAACGGACACTACCTGATAAATGTTTTATGTGAAGGCTGCTTTGCAGGCAGATGTGATCTGCTGTTAGAATAGCATGTCCTTTATTAATATACATCACCTTTTTCTGGACTCAATTTTTCTGTCTACCTTGCAACGTTTTCCTCAGTCCTGGTATGTGCTGTTGCTGCCTGATGTGGTAATTTTGGGTCTGTTCAACAATGATGTGTATACTTAGGGAAACTTCAGGGAAATTCTGTATGATCCAAATAAATAATACAATGCTTAACACTTATGATACGAGTCTCTTCAGACATAACTGGAGTTTTCTCTAAAATAACTGCCTGCAGTTCTCTTAAGAAATTTAATTGTACCTCAATGATACGCTTGAGAGGTGGGCCAATGCAAGCCTAATGAAGTTTAACAAAGCGAAGTGCAAGGCCCGGGGTCACGGCAATCCCAGACACACGTAGGGATTGGGTGGAGAAATGATTGAGAGCAGCCCTGTGGAGAAAGATTTGGGCTGATGGTTGATGAAAAACTCACCACGAGCCAGCAGTGTGCACTCGCAGCCCAGAAAGCCAACCATGTCCTGGGCTGCACCAAAAGCAGTGTGGCCAGCAGGTCGAGGGGGGTGATTCTCCCCTTCTACTCTGCTCTTGTAAGAACCCACCCAGAGCATTGCATCCAGCTCTGGTGCCACCAGCATAAGAAGGACATGGAACTGTTGGAGTAAGTCCAGAGGAGGGCCACAAAGTTGATAAAAGGACTGAAACACCTCCTCTAAGAAGACAGGCTGAGAGAGTTGGGGCTGTTCAGCCTGGAGAGGAAAAGGTTGTGTGAAGACCTCATAGCAACCTTCCAGTATCTGAAGGGGGCCTACAGGGAAGCTAGAGAGGGGCTCTTCATCAGGAATAGTCTACTGGTAGGACAAGGAGTAATGGGTACAAACTGAAAAGATGGAAATTTAAGTTAGATATTAGGAGGAAATTCTTTACTATGAGGGTGGTGAAATACTGGAACAGGTTGCCCAGAGAAGTTGCAGATGCCCCAACCCTGGCACTATTGAAGGCCAGGTTGGATAAGGCCTTGAGCAATGTGGTCTAGTGGGATGTGTTCCTGCCCATGGCAGGGGGATTGGAACTAGACAATCTTTGAGGTCTCTTCAAACCCTTAACATCGTATGATTTTATGAAGAAACCTAGAAATGAAGAGCATCTCAACTTACAGATGGTTAGATCAAGTACACTTCATTGAAAATCCAGTTGCTAAATGTTTTGCTGTGTCTGCTTTTCCTGTACTAAGTAGAACATGGAGAAAGGAAACAGAGGATTAGAAAACTACTGTAACAAGATCTGTTGCAAATTTAAGCTGGGATTTTCAGAATCAGAAATGTCAGTAACTCACGCCAGTTGAGTTATTATCCATATGGTGAGTTTATTATGACTTAATAATACAGACAGTGTTTTAATGGTACATGTGAAGGCTGTCACATATGCACTCTGGTTTCCATTGTGCCCTTGAGAGAAGCATTGATATAAACAAAGAAGCAAATAATTATATACACCTCCTTTCCCAGAAAATCTTTGAAGCAATTCCACCACTGTGGCAGATCATTCTAAGCATTTAACTATCCCATAAATATATACATTAAAATTTATTTATCCACATTCATATACTTATTCTTTGTAAGCATGTTTTATTCTGGTATCTTAAAAATGTGAATAAGTTACAAGTTTTTGGTCTTGAAATTATTCTGTTGGGTTTTGTTTTGGTATTTTTAAAATCTTTTAAGGCTAAATATGACCCATCACAATAATAAAAAAATCAGAAGAGAGGAAGAGGTAAAGCATTAGTCTCTCTACACTAGTATTTAATTTTTATTTTATATTTTAAAATGTTTGTGGAATATACATACTACTTTAGCTGAAATAAAAAAAAGACATTTTAATAAGAAAGCAAAAGTAGGTCAGAAAGGTCCAAAATCTAAACAGGTAAATATAGTTCTTATAGTACTAGTTTATAACCCATTCTGGAAATAAACTGTTATCTAAACGTAATTACATTGTGTGTTTTGAGAAGCCTATTTAAAAAGCCTTTTGCTATCATTGAGCCTTTCAATGGTTTACTTTCATGATTCAGGTATATTTTTTCAGACTTTGTTCAAACTATGGGCTCCTCTGTACTTGTCATAATTGTTGCCTTTGGGGCAGATTTGAAGAAATTATTATTTTTATTAGTGCACAATATAGTACATCCACGTACTTGAAAATTTACATGTGGTGAATTCTGTTCAACTATTTTCATTAACACCGGCTTTGGGTTTTCATTTTCAGTTACCAGAAAAATAAAAACCCATTTTTTTCTGTGCATGTAGATGATTTTGTTTTCATTGAGGACTGAGAAAATACAACCTTCATTTGGTTGTATCTCCATCAATATTAGATTTACTATCTTTTTCTTCCTCCAACAAGATTAGTTCAGTTCTTGCCAAAGATGTCACAATAGATGAGGTCCCATCAATTTCTACTTTTTCATCCCTTGTTGTTTCTTTAGGTGATAAGCTTTCTTGTGCATCAAAAAATACATCAGGCTTATCTGATGGGCTATCTTCATCTGAGATTCTTCCCTCTTTATGACCAATCTCTTCTTTTTCAACAGACTTAGCCTTTTTGGAAGGAGATGTGAAACCAAGCTTGGGAAATCTAAACCATCCAGTTTTTTCAGTTTGCTTAGAGAAATCATCTGATGTGTCAGCAGATTTCATATCTTCTGGATCTGATTTTTTTCCTTCTGTTTTTACATCTGTGCTTGTTTCATCACCAGAAGATGAAAAGCCAATACCTGGAAGCCAAAACTTGAATCTTCCAGGAGATCTTTTGCTATCAGTCTTTTCTTTCTCATTGGTTTTGTCTTTTTCTTCACCTTCCATGGCTTCAGCTACATCCTCATCTTTAGAGAGACGACCTGAAGTTATTCTCTCTGGTGATTTATCAGAAAGACTCTCTTCAAGTTTACTGGAAGGCTTTGCTTCAGCAGCATACGTTTTTAACTTTGGCAAACTTATTTCTCCACTAAATTTTTCAGACTCATGATGTGGTTTGTCAGATAGTTTAAGCTCAGCACTGCCAGTTCTCTGTGCTGCTACTCCAAAGCTTTCCCCAGCACATGTAGGTTTTTTCACTGATCCACCTTCCGTCGGAGATGGCTGCTGGACTAGCACTTCTAAGTCACTGTGTGATTCAGGCAACTTTGCCTTGAGCAATGAGAATCCCAATGTAGCAGTTTTGACTTTTGATGACAGAATCTCTGATTCTTTCAGTATTTCAGTAGTGTAAATCTCACACCTTTCAATAGCAACGTGTTCAGGTTCTACTTTCTCACTCACTTCTTGGCCTTCTACATAAGACCAATGAATGTCTTGCCCTGCATTTGAGAGGGAGGACTCTATGGTAGTTGTCATTTGTGCTGTTTTAATGTCAGGTTCAGTTAGCATCAGAATTTTGCTTTTTGCTTTTTGAATACTCCCCTCTAGAGCCCCTGGTGTTTCACCAGAGATAACAGAGCTTGCTTCCAGTTGCACTACTTCAATATCAGTACTAGATCCCTTTGGATCTGTTACCACTTTTGACACTAAAACATCAGCTTCAATTGGGAGAGTTTTAAAAGTGAATCTTGGTATTTTTAATTTGGGAATTCTTACAATTACTTCTGGGCCACTTTCTGATTGGTCCGTTTCCCCTGTTATTCTGGCAGATGCTTCCATATAATCTAGAGCTGGACTTTTCAGGCCAATAGATCCTTCTGGTTTCTGTAACTGCATTTCTGCTGTGCCTATTTCACTTTTAGATCTTGAATCAGCTTCTGACTTCGTCACATTGATATCACCTTCAAAACCCTTGATTTCCGAATGAAACATTCCAAACTTCGGAATCTTAAACTTGTATGCTTTAGTTTTACTTGTTTCTGCTCTGTCTTCTACTTGCACTTCCACTCCTGCAGACACATCCTTTTCAACACTTTTCACTTGAAATTTAATTTCAGGATCTACTCTAGTAATTTTAACATTCGTCTTCACTCCTGGAACTTCTACCTTTAGATCTTCCAGCTTAGCAGTAACATAAGTACCATCTTCTGATTCCTTTGTTGTAGACCATTCACACATAGTCCTTTTTAACTGACTTTCTTCACTGTCTTTTCCTATAATTTTCACCTCACCCTTTATCTTTCCTTTTTTAATTGCTGCCTCTTTATTTTGAATATCAAGCTCTTCCTTTGGAAGTCCAACATCTATTTTCTCCTGTGTTGCATCCAGAGTAATTTCAGCTGATGATGGTTTGCATCCTACTCCTGAAGTCTCTAACTTAGTGGAACTTTCTACCTTTGGGATTTCCATATCCTGTGTTTTGACTTTATGCTCTTGAAAAGTCAGAGTACCTGTAGAAAACCTATTTGTTAAACTGTTGTCTTTGTCGCTTTCTGAAGCACTTAGGTATGATTTAGGCAATTCTGCTGCAGACACTGTGAATTCTGAAGTATGCATTTTTTGTCCTTCAGCACCATGCTTAACTATGTCTGCGTAAGTTTCAGTTTTTGGAATATTCACTCTACTATCTGTTCTTTCTGTGGACAATGAAATATCTCCTTCCATCTTCGACAAGCTAACATCAGAACTCCTCACAGAATCTTCAAATTTTTTAATCCCTTCTTTTCCAATAGTAATTTCAGCAACTGCATGTGGTAATGAGAAGGTAGTTTCAGGAATACTTGTTTCAGTTTGTACTTTTGCAGAGGGAATGCTCGCCTGAGCTTTTTCCGCACTTCTTTCAATATCAGCATCACATTTTTTTTCCTTTAAGGATGTCCTGCCAAATGCAGGTATTCTGAATTTTGGCATTTTAAACCATCCCTGATGTTCTTCAGTCCGAACTTCTTCAGCTTTTATTTCATGTTCTTCTTTTAATTTGATTTCTTTGTCCTCAAGACTCTCAATAGCTCCCTCTGTCCTTGGTTTAGACACTGACTGGGGGCTAATGTCTACTTTTGGAGTTTCAGTGCCACCAGTCAGATCTTGGGGTGTTTTTATCTTACAAACAACTACTCCAGGATCTGACATATCAGATATAAGTTCTGATGCTGGAACTCCCACAGCAATGTCAGCAATTTTTAGCTGGGGTTGCTCAGCTTCTATTTCTGGAGAGCTGATCTCTGCCTCTGAGCATTTCCCTTTTGTTAGGGAGATTCCAAACTTTGGTTTCTGGAATTTGGGCATTTTAATCTTCCCTTCAGGACCTTCTAATTTCACTTTTCTTCCATCCACAACTGATGATCTTTCTGTTACTATATCAGGGCTCTTCAGTTCAACTGAAGCTTCTCCTTTGGGGAACTTAATACTTGTTTTTTGAATGTTATATTCATCGGTAGAACTTGACTTTAGGTCAACCTGTTGAAAACTCCCCTCTGAGGGAGTCAGAGCAGCACCAATCTTTGCTGAGCTGATTCCCATTTCATTTTGAGAGGCTTCAGTTTCCATTTTGGAAAACTCCAAAGTGTGGATCTTAACATCAGCCACTTTTATACTTATTTGTGCCCCTTCTTCAGTCCTTTCAGAATGACTTCTTTCTATATCAGGTATCTGAATTGAATCATCACCCTCTCTTTCCATTTTAAGAAGAGTAGCATCAACTTCAACTTTTGATGAATGAGACTGAGACTTTGGAACCTTGATCTTGGAGAGTGAAATTTTAGGCATGACAAATTGAGGCTTTTTAATTGGACTTTTTTGTTCAACTTTTCCTGTAGATATTTCCAGATCAAGGGCTGTCCCACTACCTTCATCATCCATTGAAGTTCCTCTTATTTCTGTATCTGTTCTGCTTGACATTACATCAAGCTTTTGGTCTTCCAGATTTGCTCCAGAATCCGGTTTAACACTTGCTTCCTTCTTTGGTGACCAACTGAAGGATGGAAGTTTGAATTTTGGCATTTTGAAATGTCCTTCTTTTTCTTCTCCATCTCCATCTGGCTTTATTTCCCCTTTGATTTTTAGTGCTGCATCTGAATCTTGAATATCACTGTCTGGTTTTGGAATAGAAATGTCAGCTGAAGGGAGGTGAACATCAGCCTCTGATGCCTTACTGTCAGTTTTGGTCATTTTGACTTGAGGGCTGTAAGTCTCTGTTCCTGTGCCACATTCCACCTCCAAGTTTGGTCCTTCGACAGCAATGTCAGATATTTCTACTGTTGCTTTCAGCTGGGGAACCTTGACTTCTGATTTGGATTGGCTGACCTCTTTTTCTGCCCCTTTCCCTTTAGAAAGTGTAATGCCTAACTTTGGCATTTGGAATTTAGACATTTTTGTTTTCCCTTCAGGACCTTCAGCTTTTATTTCTACATCACTCACAGCAATTTCACTTGGTGTTCTTTCAACACTTGTGTCAGGACTCTTCATCTCAAGTGAACCTTCAGTTGTCATCCTAATATCTGAGGTGGAGAGGCTGGCATTAGCAGCAGCTGATTTCAATTCTAGATCATCTTCTTCACACATACCAAGTATGACTTCACCTGTAGGCCTGCTAATATCCATGTCTATTTTGGGAGCTTTGACTTCTGGTTTGGAAAATTCCAAAGTTGGGACCGTAACTTTTGGCATTTTTATGCCCATTCCAGCCCCTTCCCCACTAATCTCTTTCTCAGATTTCTGTACTGAAACAACTTCTTTTTCTTGTTCAGGACCACAAATATCAGTTTCCAGTACAGGCACAGAGACTTGGACCTTCTGACCCTTAATTTTAGGGAATGAGATCTTTGGCATGGTAAATTGGGACTTCTTGTTTCTGATCTTTTCACCATCTTTTTCTATAGATGTATCAAGTTCTACATGAACATATTGATTCTCAGGAGTAGGAAAGGTTAATTCAGAGTCTGTGTCTCCAGATAAAGTAGACAAAGGCGGTTCTTCCAGATGTTTCTCAACCGGAGATGGAACAATAGCTTCTTTCTTTGGAGACCAACGAAATGAAGGCAGTTTAAATTTTGATGATTTAGATTTGTTTTCTTTCTCCTCAGTATCTTTCTCTCCTGAAATTACTTCCTGTTCTGCCTTGCAGTCTAAATCTGTGCCATGGATTTCTCCTTCTGATTTTGGCATGGTAACTTCCATTGGTGAGAGATTGGGATCAAGTATTGGTGCATCCAGAACAACTTCAAGTGAAGGCTCGTGCAACTTTACACCTAACTTGGCATCAGAGATCTGAGTTGGTTTTCCAGTATCAGCATCAGTCATATCAGATGTTATCCTTCCCTTGGAAATTTCAGATTCCACTTTGAAACCAATGTCACTTTCTGATGCTTTACCCTTAGATCGAATTCCAAATTTTGGTTTTCGGAACTTAGGAATTTTAACTGTAACATCTGTGTCACCCAAAGATATTTCAGCAGCTCTTGTTTTAACTTCTGGCTTAACACCTTCTTGCTCTACAGAACCATCTTCATTTAAAATTTCAAAATCTGAAAGATTTTCATCTGCAAGAGATGGTATTTTTGATTCAGATTCTGTAAGATTAACTTGGTATTTAGTAAGAGTAATATCCTCTTTTTGAAATGAGGACTCGGGGTCAATTCCAGACGAACTCAAATCAACCTTGGAGAAACCCAAGGTAGGAATTCTGAACTTAGTATTTTTAGACACATTATCTCCCTTTAAGTCAGGCATAGGCTTAGATCCGACACTACCCAAAAGAACAGCAGGAGTATCCTGTGTTACAGAACAACTAAGAGATTCTGACACTGAAACATCAGCTCTGGATTTACTTTCTCCATGAGATTTGGAACTTTTAGAAAGCGAAACTTTAGGCATTCTAAATAGAGAACTTCGAGATTTACCCATCTCGTCCTCTTTAGAAGAAAAGGAACCTACAGGAACTTCAGAAATAGGCACCTGGATCTCGGCCCCAGGCAGGGTAACGTCCCCCTCAGCGGCTCCCGAGGGCAGCGTAACATGGGGCTCCTTGAGGCTGATGTCCACCTCGGCGGCTCCCGAGGG